TCTTACATTGGACCCATGGRACCGCGAAATCTCAGAGTTCCATTACATGCTAAGATTGCGGATATTGTCGCTAATAATTGTTGGCAGTTAGCGACTCCGAGGGATGAGCAATCTCTAAACTTGCAGGTCCACCTTACTACGCTCCAGATCCCGGGTTCACATGCGCCTGAGGACTGCTACGAATGGGTTATTGAGGGGAAGGGTGGAAGACAATTTAACTCGGCAGCAACTTGGGATGCACTTCGACCAAGGGATGATACAAAGAGCTGGTCGGAACTAATATGGTTTAAAGGCCACATCCCCAAATTTGCTTGCACATTGTGGCTGGCAAATTACAATAGGTTGCCAACAAGAACAAGGTTAGCCACGTGGGGTTGAAATGTGCCTATAGAGTGTTGCTTATGTTCTACTATTGAAGAGACTAGGRWCCATCTTCTCCTCTCATGCGACTTTAGTGTGGAGGTTTGGAGCAGAGCATTGTCTGGATTGCAGCCGCGGTTTAATGGTTTTAACTCTTGGTCAGAGTTACTTTCGTGGATTAGGGGTTCTTCTCCTACGGCGCCGTCTCTACTTAGGAAGCTTGTGGCTCAAGCTACTGTTTTTCATCTATGGAAGCAGCGCAATAATGTCCTTCATAATCAAACGGCAATTCCTCCAATCTTGGTCTTCCAAACCATCTATCGGGACGTCAAGAATTCGATCACGGCAAGAAGGAAACGCAGTGACTTTAACAACATTATGTTGCTTTGGCTAAGATGAGTTTTGTGTTCATGACACAACTTTATACTACCTTGCTTTTTTAATCTTTTTTTTGGACAAGGTATTGTAAGTTTTAGATGTAACTTTTGTAACCTCTAACATTTCATTGTCTAAATGATATTTACCTTTTATAAAAAAAAATGTATTCGTACGTACGCGCAAACGCAAAATAATAATTAAATCGACCTATGAAATTAAAGTAGATGATGAAATGAGCATGGTAATGCAATAATTATACCCATCATCTCCATGCATATATATGTACGTGTGCGTTTGATTATTTGATTTCAGAAACATAATCATCAATTTTCATTGAACGAACATTTTCAAAGATGATTACAACAAATAAATGAATCACCGGGCAGCCAATTATATTCAAATCATGCAAGTCGTTCATTCTTTTCTATTTTCCACGTACAT